GTTTAAATCTAAAGAAAAGTTTACTAGAAAAAAATCCACGCGGACCAGGCAGCGGACGGGACTCGAACCCGCACCCTTCGCAATCTGGGCACTGACCATTATGCTACCACGGCCCTATTGGCCGCGTTAAAAATAAATAAAAACATAACTATACTAAGTTCCACCGTACACTGTAAAATTCGGTCCTGCTTGTATTTGTCACCTTTGGCGGCCAGGAAGCTCCAAGGTGGTAGGTTATTCTAGCTAAGCAGTCCGTTATTCTCCAAGATTTTTTAACCCATCGGTGGCACTTTGTTCACGAATTTGTTATTGCAAAATAATCCTCATTGAATGGCAGATAGATAGGTTCGAATCTTCGACCGGAATCCGGAACCAATGTCCGTTGATGTAACAGCCATTGTGTGGGAATCGTGCGGTACTTTCGCGGTGTCTCATTTGCATAACACAAAGCTTGAACTACTTTAATGTGTGAACTCAACAATGAACGCTCGTGTGTTATGTTTCATACATTATACGTGTTAAGTAGAATTGAGTGTATCGCGTGAATAATAATGTAGAGCAGAACTGTTAAAAGCTAGGGAACAATCGCAGGTTGGTTTAGGTGCATAAAGTGACGACCTCCGTGGCCGAGTGGTTTGTACGCCGGGTTACATGGTGTCGCCGACTCGAGAGGTCCCGGGTTCGAATCCCGGTGGGGGCAGATGTTTGTGTGATGAATACGAGCATTTGTACTCCAGTCATGGATGTTTAATATTATGTATTTTCTATATAAATATTCTTATATATGTATTCTATCCGTTACCCTAGCATCCCATAACACAAGCCTTACAGTGCTTACTTTGGGGCTAGGCTAATTGGTGTGAGTGTTGGAAATATTTATTTATTTTATTTATTTATTATAAAGAAAAACTGTATTTTAATGTAATTATTGTATATTCCCTAGTGGTTACTGGTAATTTTTCCCTAAAATAAGTAAAAATACCTTGTCATTGAAAATTTTAAATTCAAGACAAAAACTGCTATCTATCTATAGAGACGATTGCTTATACATTTTTAGTTATACATAATTGTTTTAATAGCCATTCAAAGAACATGTTTTGAAGGTTATGTAAATACTTTAATGTGGACGTATATATATATATATGTAGACTAATAATCGTATAATAGGCCGAGCATTAAAACACTCAAGTTTAATGGACATCGAAATTCAATATTAAAGAAGTAATTTTACGATGTGAATAATGACAAGAGCATGTGAGGCTAGATACCACATAAATGCCAAAAGTCTGTAGTCGATTTTGATCAATATAACTAACCATTAAGGTTTAAAACTGATTGGAGTAATTCGGCAGTTCCATATAGTAAGACGAGCTGTTGTGTATACTTCCGTTACTTCAGCGGAAACGTTCACTTTGTTGTGGCAACGGCGACGTAATGTGAGTTGTAAATGTAAACAAAAATCGACTGAGTCATGCAATGGCGCTGGAGCTCTATTTTTGAATCGTTCGCCTTGCGTCGAATGCTTGATTTCTACTAGCGGTTAAATGCTAAAAAATACTATCCGTAAATGGAATGCTCTGCCTGCTCACGTGTTCCCTCCCTCTTACAACCTGGGATCCTTTAAAAGAGGCGTGAAGAAGCAACATGCAGGCCGGCAGGGTGAGGATGGCTGGTGTGCCAGGTAGAACTGCTGTATCAGCTATCTTCGCGTCTAGACTTCACCTCCACTTAACAGGAGGTGGGGTGGAGTCATTTGTCGGAACTATCTATAAAAAAAAATGTATATAAAAATTTAAGATTTCTCAATATTTTTTAAATATAGATACTTCAGTAGACGATTTGTTGTAACGTTTTGAACTTTTGTAACACAAAAGGCAAAAAGCGTTACGGTATTCAGAATTATAAGTTTCTTTGTCACTGCGGTAATTAACGGTATTTTGTGTTTTTACTTGAAATTAATAAAATTTTATGTTTCGTATTAAAATGAAACACTAGAATAAAATACGGAAAATCAGTATTAAGCTGCGGCTTGGAAGTGAAGGTGACTTGAGTCGCATTCGACGATACTTAAGCTCGTATTACAGAATGACAAGTAAGTGTTGATCTTTACTTGAGTACAGTTAGAAAGGGATGCGGCGTATGCCGCATTGTATAGCACTTAGCGACATCCCTTTGTAACTGTACTCAAGTAAAGATCAACACTTACTTGTCATTCTGTAATACGAGCCTATGTATCGTCGAATACGACCCTTTCTAACTATACTCAAGTAAAGATTGACACTTAGGCCCTTATTATTGAAAGATTCTCAGTGATTGATCTAGTCTTGAGCATAGTTAGAAAGGGCCTTAGTTATCATTCTGTAATACGAGCCTTAGTATGTCAGGCGAGTGAATCAAGAATAGAGCTCTTGGTGTTACGTAGACGCGTCTCGCACGTGGTCCCTACGTAATATTGGTGCAGTAGTCGTGCTGTTGTCGCTGGTCTGGTTGGAGACCTTTATGGGCATTCACTTTCATACTTCTTTTGGAATAATCAAAATGGTTTCTATAATGGTTTTAAGTTATTTTTTTATGAATAAGAATTATCAACTGCAAAATGTATTTCAATAAAGTTTTTTTTCCAAAAAACAAATAGAATAGTGTTGTGTTTAAAAGGGGTGACTGTAAATTACAAATTTAAATAACGAAAATACTGGATTTGGCTTACTATTTTACTAAGTGAGCTACTGACTGCGAGTGATAAGAAATCAACAAAACGGCAACTTAATAACATTTATACTTAAAATACAAAATGAGCAGCATTTGCCAAGTATTGAATATAAGCAGTTTTAAACGTTGCGTTGTCACTTAAATAATATTTGAGCGACCATATATTTGTATGAGTGTCTACATTATGTCCTGCCTATTTTTCAGTATTCTGCAAATGATTTATTTATAGTGAGCGGCGTCTTTTACTTTTAAAGTTTACCCAATACAAAAACCACTTTGTAAAATACTAAAATCAAAGCAAAACTTTATTGTCGTTCGTTACCTGAAACCCCAAGTCAATATCTTTATTCTAATGTTTAAGCTGTCCGATCTGTATTTTAAGTTCACTTACTTAGTTATTCAGACGCTGGCTTAAGTATGCAAAATGGATTTTTACAGCTCAAATTTTGTTTAATTATTAGTCAAAGTTCGTTTTCAGTTTAGTTATTTTGTCGTTTACGCAAATATATACCTACCGCTCAAGTTAGTAAACAGTATCTCTTCATCAGTCGATAAATTTTATTATAATAAAGGCAATTTTATTCTTCAAAAATAAAAAAGGGTTAATTTACACTTCGGTTAGTATAGTAGCGAGTTAACTTACAGTCTTGCCGAGTTAAGTTCTTATCATCGTTTGGACAAGCATTTGACAATTAAGTTATTACTGCTTAACTGTCTGCTTTCTAAACTCGATACTGGACTTCATCATCATCATCAGCCTCTTAATGTCCCCACTGCTGGGGCACAGGCCTTCCCTATGGATGGAATAGGGAGATTGGGCCATGACCCACCACGCGGGCCCAGTTCGGATTGGCGGGTGCTAACGACTGCAGATGCAACCGGGACCAACGGCTTAACGTGCCTTCCGAAGCACGGAGGAACTCGAGATAGAAATTTTTTTTGGTCACCCATCCAATGACCAACCACTGCGAAAGTTGCTTAACTACAACGATCGCAGCCGAACGCGCTAACCACCTGCGCCATCGAGCTCCTCGGACATTGGATATTGGACTTACCGAAGTGTAAATCAGCCTTAAAACAGTTAAGCATTAAATTAAGCGACCGACCTGTTTATCAGGTCATCAGTGATCGCAAATCGGTAGCTATTGGTCAAAGATGGCTTTATATGTATACAAGATGAATTGAAAGCGATGGACTCTGAAGAGTAGACGCCCCAAAACCTTAAAACCTGTTCGCGCCTTGTTACGTTACTGTGTAACTCGCTAAAGTGATTTATTATTATAATTAAAATTCACACCCACGTTATGTTAAGTTTCTGATATGATCAATTAGTGGGCCGCGGAAGTACTGGCGCCGGCGCACTGCGCACGTGTTACCTAACTAAACCCATATTGCACCCTTATAATGGAAGTGACCTAAAATTTTGAAATTTCTGATTTTGCCATAAATTTACTTTAAAAATATACCTTCTCAACAACCATGTGCAGAAAAAGAATCTCGAAACACGGTAGGAGCATTTATTTGTGTCATGAAAATTCATCATCAGCCTATTAATGTCACCACTGCTGGGGCACAGGCCTTCCCTATGTATGGAATAGGGAGATTGGGCCATGACCCACCACGCGGGCCCAGTGCGGATTGGCGGATGCTAACGACTGCAGATGCAGCCGGGACCAACGGCTTAACGTGCCTTCCGAAGCACGGAGGAACTCGAGATAGAAGATTTTTGGTCACCCATCCAATGACCGACTACTGCGAAAGTTGCTTAACTTCAACGCGCTAACCACCTGCGCCATCGAGCTCCTAATATATCATAGTTCATAGTCATGAGAATAATCATTTGTTACTGAGTCATGGTTGTTAATATACGTAATTATATTTTATAATTACGCTATACATATGGTTTCTAAAGTTCCTACATGCTCTGCTTAGTTTCAGCTTACCCAGCCACCCACTCAGCCATTTTTATACGACTGCCTCAATAGCTTCGACCACTCAGATTGGATTAAACCCTTTGTTCCCAGTCGCCTCCGCGGGGATTGCCAAAGAAGGCAAATTGAGAACGAAATCGTTGTCCCCACTTCAGTTTTTATTCCCATTTGCGTCCGGTGGCAATTCTCGCGCGGGCCTTTATTCCCAGTTGCCCTCGCGAGGAATACCACTGGAGGCAAATAGGAACGAAGTCATTATCCACACTTCAGATTGCCATTTGCCACTGGTGGCTATCCCCGCGAATAAAGGGTTTAAACAACGCTGCAGTGTTGCTATACCATTGTTTGTTTTATTCGCAGGTAAAACCCTCCTAGCACAGACGATAGCGCAATGTCTGGACGTGCCGTTCGCAATCTGCGACTGCACGACGCTCACGCAAGCCGGTTACGTGGGCGAAGATATCGAGAGCGTCATCGCCAAGCTGCTACAAGACGCTAACTTCAAGTGAGTGCAGTTAACCAACTTCAAGCGATTGTAAACCAACCTCACTGGCGCAGACGATAGCACGATGTCTCACGAGAGCCGGTTATGTGACGATGACATCGAGAGCATCGTCGCGAAGCTGCTGCAGGATGCTAATGGAGACTAGGGATGAAACGATACGAGTAAATACAAGTAACTACTCGATACTTTTCTTTCGATAACAAGTACTTTTGGCATCGATACTTTACAACCGAGTAACAAGTAGTATCGTGAAGTAAGTAATTGTATCGGTACTCGGTGGGTCACTTAGAAGTATCAAAAAACCATAGGCAGATTGTTTACATTGTGGTTAGGTGTCTAGTTGGAATTTTTCTTGCGCAAACGTATCTTTTCTACTGCTCATTTGGCAGCCTTGCGTATGATTAATATTTACTCCAATTTTTCAGTCAGTCAATCGTTCATTCCGTGGCATGAGCCGTTCTTTTGTTTTCTTCAAGTTAAAACTGTGACTGCAGTTTTAATTGTAATATCGTTCGTCAAATTTTATCGATACAAGTAAGTATCGATACTTTTCATTCGATACCGAGTAGGTATCGATACTTTATGACCGATACAGTAGCGAGTAAAAGTATCGATACCTAGATGGTATCGTTTCATCCCTAATAGAGACCGCATATAAGGGGAACGAATTGTAGCGCCCGTTTGAAGAAGTAACTACACCTTACAGACAACCACTGTTAAATAACACAATCTTTTGGTACTGGTGCGTTTCTGTCGCCGAGAAAAGATCTCGGTCTCCACGGAGAAGAGGATTGGGTCAGGATAGGCAACGCATATACGCAAATGAACAAATACAAAATTTTGCTCTGGCACAACAACACAGTTGTGCGAAGCGGTTGGTACATTACAATGGGTACTACGGGAATCAGTGATTTGTTCAGCACCCATGAACCAGCTACATACAACTCATACAAGTGCCACGGCGACGAAATTTTCGAATAATGCACGATCAGCTAATTTGATTCCTGACCCATCATAACCTTATTTTAACCCAACCGTTGCAAAACAATAAAGTAGATTTTTGCTTGAATGTTACGTATCCATTTAAATACACCCAAATTTTTGGCGTGACTGATTTTGCCGCCTTCCTGTGACAATCATTTGTATTACTTAATCATTGTGGGTTACTTATAATGCGAAGAGATGGCGCTGCCTTGCAGCTTAAGAATGGCTAGAGGAATTTCGACGCGGTCCGTGAGGGCCGCGGTAGCATAATTGGTCAGTGCATTCGCCCGGATTGCGAAGGGTGCGGGTTAGAGTCCCGTCTGCTGCCTGGTCCGCGTGGAATATTTTCTAGATATATTTACAATCATTTGTAGTTTTACCCATGGACTAAGGATTTCCCGATTTGTTTACCAACGTTTATTATAATGTCAAGAAATCGAAACAGCTTTTGTTACATATATTTACGAATTTAATAAGGATTTCGAAATGCAAATATTATTTAAATTTTATCTTTACTAATACGATCTCATTGAAATTAAATGTCCAGTTTCAAATATCGTTGATCCATATTAACACAGTTTCCTTGAAAGGCCTTAATTAATTTCAATCAATTTCAATCACGAATTCTCTACAGAAGAAAACTTGTCTGTTTTGACATTTTTAAACGAATTATCGGTCAGGTGGGTCAGGTTGTTTGTTCGATCGTACCTGTGGCACAACTGGTTGTGCGATGCGTTTGGTCCATGGGTACTACGGGATCGCATCGGTGGTCTACCTACGTTCTTGTGACCAGTTCTGGATCTGCACTACAGTACAATTAACAAGCTTTAACGGCTTAGATGCACTGATTTTATTTATTTATTGTCGTTTCGCAGCCTTTGCAGGAATGCGTCGTAAGAATAATCATTCAGTTTGCATTCCTGCAAAGGCTGCGAAACGTCAATCATATATATAAAATTCTCGTGTCACAATGTTAGTTACCGTACTCCTCCGAAACGGCCTGACCGATTTTTATGAAATTTTATATGCATATTCCGTGGGTCTGAGAATCGGCTACTATCTATTTCATATCCTTAAGTGATAATGGTTGTCCACCTGTAACGTAGTGTTCTGAAACCTACAATGCGCCTTCACGCCAAAATTCAAACTATTGGGTATTCTAACATAGTTTTCCTATATGGGTTAGGAGGAATGTTATCCCAGGAAATTGATAGAACACTACGTTACACACCGCTAAATTTTTTTTGGACAATATTTATTTGTTTATAATGTGGTACCTATAAAAATACATACAACCCTAAATTTTCTCTTGTACCATCTGCCCCTATTTTTATGGCGGTACGAAGTTCGCTGGTCAGCTAGTAAATAAATAAAATCAGTGCATCTAACCTGTTCAATTTTGTTTAATGTAATGAGTGATATGCATGAAAATCTAAGAAACATATACAGTACAATTTATCCGCAAAGGTCATCGTTTCTGCAATATATGTAGTCAGCCAATCTCTGTTTTTTAATAATAATAATCTATACTTATAATAAATCTGTAGAGAGGTCAATTCTGTACATGAAATATATTTTCAAAATAAGTATCAGGGGGTGATTAGTGATCGATACTGATGACAAAAATTTAATCAGTAAAATTTTTGTCTGTCTGTGTGTATGTTCCTTATAGAAACAAAAACTACTCGACGGATTTTAACGAAACTTGGTACAATTATTCTTCATACTCCTGGGCAGGTTATAGTGTACTTTTCATTACGCTACAATCAATAGCAGCAGAGTAGTGAAGGGAAATGTTGGGAAAACGGGAGAAATTACTCCCTTTTTAAGCTTCCGTCGCGTATGCAGCGCTTAATGGTTAATGTTACATAGAAATCATGTATCACGGAAATATTCTACATAAAATTGTCTAAAAAATATCCCGCAACAGCATATGTCTATCTTTTATGGTTGACTCACAATAACACGTGTAATTATATAAATAAACTCATTGTTTATAGCACAAGCCTGAGAACAAAAACTATAGTTTACACTACAGCTCTACACCGAAGCAAAGCGAGGGCGGGCCACTAGTAATAAATATATCTTGATTCAAATAAGGTCATACATTGCATAATAATACTAATAACAATATAAAGTACAAAATATTGGATGCCTGAACTAGGTTACAGTTAAAATTGTACCTGTATTTCAGGCTTTTATGATCTAAATAATACATTGAATGATTAATAAATTAACAAATTATTTAAAACATAACTTAAAGTAATCATTGTATAAATGTAGGTAAATGTAAATTATGGAGTTACGTTCATTTATTTACAAATAAGAAGTAATGCTTCGGTCTGCTCGTATGTCAGGCTGTGCAAATAATTAAATACTACAGTTCTACAGTTAAAATGGTTTAATGTATAAATACCTAACACTCTATTTAACTTATTATATAAGAAAGGACTTAGGAAAGTAGAGAATCTATGTGAAAAGATGTATTTTGAATCATGTGTAGAGATGCAGACTATATCTTTCCGTCTTTTGTTAGTGATATCAGAGCAAAAAGGTGAAATGGTGTGTTGTTTTACTATGGTGTGCATAATGAAAAGCTGGCGAACAGTGAACACATTACAGTATAACGTAATGTCTACTTGATTGTTAAAATTAACGCTTTTAAAATTTTCTTTTTCCAGTGTTGAACGAGCACAAACGGGCATAGTTTTCCTGGACGAAGTGGACAAAATCGGAGCAGTTCCGGGCATACACCAACTCAGAGATGTTGGGGGTAAGTTAAAGGACAAGTGCTTAATTAGGCAAACATTTGACTAAACAAAGAAACTTAAATAAGTTCCTCTCCTTCCTATAATCTGGCGTGAAAAAGCATTTTTGCAGGCCGGCGAGGTGAGGATGGTTGGTGTGGCAGTTTATAACTGATGTACCAGCTATCTCGCGTTTGAGCTTTATCACCAATTAACATCAGGTGGGGAAGAGTCATTTGCTTACCTGTCTATATAAATAAAAAAAAAAAACACAAAATATTGAAATTGATTTTCGCTTTTGTTATCACATGAAATCAGATTTTTTTAAACGCAAATTTTCAACAGACGATTTCTAATAGATACTTTTAGACCACTGTTTTAGACATTTATAAAAATTGACATTTCATTAGAATAATCACAGGTTAGATTATCCTGTGAATCTCGTTGACATTGGAACACATTGGCGATTGCTCGAATCGGTCGAGGTTAGACCATCCAATGAACTAGAGCACTAACCTTGCGGCTGATTGCGCACGCTTTGATTATAATCTACACACGATGCTACGGTATTTTATTTTATATTGTACTAGCTCTGCCCCGTGGTCTTACCCGCCATTTATTAAGGACTAGCAAACCAGTGAACCAAATGTTCACCAAAACCTGATTTAAAAAATGTATTTAATTAATTTTGACATTATGTAGTTAAAAAAAAATTAACCTTTAAATAGTTAATTAAAATTGTGATAATTACAAAATAGAAATCACGTGATTTCTGAAAACCGGAAGTGCTACGTTACTCAAATCCGGTTTGTAGTCTTATCAGACTATTCTTAACTTATAACTTAAATATTCTCTTTATCTATCTCTTACGGTTTGGCCGCTGAAACAGCACCACATACAGACGGACGGACGGACTTGTCTAATAGATAAGAGATATTTTCCCTCAGTAAAACGTAGCCTATGTGTTGGTCAGCTAACTCCATACCAAATTTTATTAAAATCGCTCCAGCCGTTTAGACGTGAAGAAGTAACAAACATACACACACACGCACAAACTTTTGCCGTAATAATATTAGTGTGATGCATACTAGGGTATTTGACAAGTTTTAGAAAACTATCTCACTCACAACATCATTCTGTTGTGTATTTCAGTAAAAACAACCAAATCAAAAACTCAATTTTCAAGTAGCCGCGAAAACGTTTTTCTGGACAATATGGCGTCTTTCTAATGTGTGACGTCACACGACTGTTATTAAAACGTCAAACGATACAATGTAATGTCACTTTAACCGGAAGTTTACTTGCGTGTGACGTCATTTTAGGCTCCGCCAATCCCAAGCGTTTTGGGTCACGTGACAATAGATAAGAAAATTATTATCTTTTTCATGGGTTTTTAGTAAAATTATGAGTATTTTGTTTGTAAAAATAGTAAAAACCCTTGCCAATATTCATTCTAAACACAGATGCTAACAATTGGCACTTTATTTTAATATTGTCAAATTCCCTATTATTAGCTTACGCTCCCGGTTTCATTCCAGAAAATCTTTTGTAACACTTATATTTATTTATTTTTAGACCACATGTGGTCATCTCGACACTTCTCTCTTCTTCTCGCATTCGAACATGACCAAAATCTCCTTTATCAAAAATTTTATATTCCTCCACGCAAATATGTGTACACCAGTCGTGTTCTGCATAAAAATCCACGTGAACCAGGCACCAGACGGTCCCCACGACAACGGCTAACTAGAGCCGAGGTCCGAGTCTCAGAGACGCCCTCTAGTTGAGCCGACCCCCTCAGGTTCGAGTGGTCTGGAGGCTCCAGACGGAGAGGAGACTCCCCGTGGGGAGACGCCATCCGCCTGGAATACCTCTAGAGGCACTCGCCAATTCTCGGCTTGAGGTCCCCTTAGGATCTCGCCGTCCCCAAACCCGGTGACGCTGTAAAGGCCATCTGCGACCAACAGCATACACACTCAAAAAAAAAATAGCACCAGACGGAACTTGAACCCGCATCCGTCGCTATCCAGACGAATCCACCGACCTGAAATTTTTGAAGTGAAAACTTCTTTAGCACCGTTGTTATTGGAAACTCGGTGAAACGGAAATTTAACACTATTTGACACAAGGTATCCGTAATTTTGTAACTCTCTGCGAGAGACAGAGCCGAACGGTAACCCGTTCACAGTAGTCCGTTTGGCTATTTCTCTCTTGTAGAGTTACAAAATTACGGATACCTTGTTTGACACAAGGTATCCGTAATTTTGTAACTCTACAACTGTAACACTGTTAAATATTCGTTTCATAAGACCTTAGTTAGGTCTTAGGATCGATACCAAATTATCGGTGGTTTGATCCTGAGCTCGGTTATTTTTTGTTTTTTTTCTTTCATTGCGCTTTTATTTATTTTTCGAAACATTTTAAGTATAGAGCATTCAAATTTGCCCAGTATTTTAAACTACCTGAGTAGTTAAGTATTAAACGTTTGGTAGGTGCCTAATTTGTTTATTAATACAGGCTTGGTTTTCTTCAACAATCTTTACATTTGCAATGTTTGCAATTTTTTTACATAAAATTTCATAAATAAATATTTCGGTAAAAAAACTAAAATAAGATAATCATAACAAAAAATATATTAATTAGCTGGGAACAAATAAAGCCGCGGGCGGCTTAAGAACTTTAACGTTTAACGTGTTCACATTTTTGTAGGTTTTTTTATATAGATAGATTCGACAAATGACTCGACCCCACCTGATGTTAGGCATTTTCCGTCCACCGGAAGAAGCGTAGCGGAGTTATCCGGGAGTCCCCCCCACTCATTTCACCCTGCATAGAGATTCGATGAAATGAGTAGGGCCCTACCTAACGGTAAAAATCAGACAATACTCCTGTACCCCTAGCACGAACCATTATCGAATTCGAATATTTTCCAAACCGAAATGTCAATGTCAAATTTTGTATGGAAACTTGAACAGCAGCGCCACTTTGGACGTAACGGGAACTAAAAATCAGTACACATTTGACAATGACATTTCGGACTCGCAAACGATACGAATTCGATATTGGTTCGTGCTAGGGGTATAAGAATAGAGTGGGGAAGGCGGCTCTAAAAGTGTCCGTCTAGTAGAAAGAGAAAGAAGATGAGAGACCGCTAGCTGTCTCTCTCTCTTGTGACGCATGGCATCCATTGGCATCACATCGAAATAGTAAGAAGCTTACGGTTGCCAATGCGCATGCGCGATTAGAGAGAAAAGCTAGCGGTCTCTCATTTTCTTTCTCTTTCTATTAGAGGGCACTTCCACTTGTAGGAGAGCCTATATCTCGCATACTCTATTCTTATACCTCTATTGGTACGGCCCAACGGGATTGGCCACGCGCCTGCCACGTGTTGCTTCTTCAGGCCTCTTTTCAAGGATTCCAGGTTTCTAAGAAGTGGGGAACAGGTTTCACTTCCATCGCATGTGAACAGCACAGGTCCGTTTTTTCTTCAGATTTTAGTTTTTTTTAATATTTGTTTAATCCAGGCGAAGGAGTACAACAAGGCATGTTGAAAATGCTGGAAGGCGCTGTGGTGTCGGTGCCGGAGCGTAATTCGCGCAAACTGCGCGGCGACGCCGTACAAGTGGACACTACCAACATACTGTTCGTGGCCAGCGGCGCCTACAACGGATTGGATAGGTGAGCTCTATGTCTACATGTTTAAGGTTTATTATCCTTTGGTAAAATCTTTTTGACTATACAGTATGATCTCACTAATCCGGCACTTCCGGCACGTCCAATAATCCGGCACCCTCCGCCCATGCCTCCCCTTAGATTAAAACAAAAAGGGTAGATACGGTACGCTCATACTAGCATCAAATAAAATATGATCCGACTCGACTACATAAGCAACTCTTACACACGCACACGTCTGTGTAAAAACATATAAACATTAATCGAGCGAGCGAGACAGAACTATACGCTTCAACGCAGCGTATTGTTCACGACAAACCGTGATTTTTGAGAAAAAAATGTTTTCGCAGATTTACGAATGAAAAGTATTGCCGGGGCATTTGATTTCGAACTATTTGTGTTCTTTATAAAAGCATCGAAGGCACTGTTATATCTTCATAACACAGAATAAATAAATAAATAAAATATTACCAACACTCACACCAATTAGCCTAGCCCCAAAGTAAGCACTGTAGGCTTGTGTTATGGGATACTAGGGTAACGGATAGAATACGTATACTGTACATATATAATTATATTTATATAGAAAATACATATTAAACGTCCATGACTGGAGTACAAATGCTCGTATTCATCACACAAACATCTGCCCCCACCGGGATTTAAACCCGGGACCTCTCGAGTCGGCGACACCATGAAACCCGGCGTACAAACCACTCGGCCACGGAGGTCGTCAAATATACGCAATATTGTTATATTGAGTGTACATGCAGCGGTTTGAATGTCAAATTGTGACTAAAGCGAATTATGGTCGTGGACCACAATTTAAGCGGATCACTTTTGAGCCGCCAATGCTGTATCTTCCCTTTTTGTTTTAATCTAAGTGCCTCCCTTGCCAATCTACATCTGTGCGCTTGGATTTGTTAGTGATTGGTAAAGCAAAAAATACCAGAGCTTTCAAGAACATTTGTCTGCCAGTCCGCTACAAGAATCAAATTAGAAGTTGGGTCACGAGAGAAGTATTCAGCGAATGGTTTCATAATGTCTTTGTCCCAGAAGTCGAGAAGTTTATGAAAAGATCCAACTTGCCCATAAAAGCATTTGATTTGTTTCAATCAAATGCTTGCATAACATGGACAGAAGAAAAGGCATGTCTGCCAAAGATATTATAATTCTTCGCAACATGCGAGAAATGGTTTTTAAGCAAGGACTACGAGTTGCACAAAAGTCAATTATATTAAGGACTAGTGGCCCGCCCTCGCTTCGCTTCGGTGTAGAGCTGTAGTGTAAACTATAGTTTTTGTTCTCAGGCTTGTGCTATAAACAATGACTTTATTTATATAATTACACGTGTTATTGTGAGTCAACCATAAAAGATAGACATATGCTGTTGCGGGATATTTTTTAGACAATTTTATGTAGAATATTTCCGTCATACTTACATGATTTCTATGTAACTTTAACCATTACGGCTGCGCACGCGACGGAAGCTTAAAAAATGAAGTAACTTCTCCCGTTTTCCCAACATTTCCCTTCACTACTCTGCTCCTATTGATTGTAGCGTGATGAAAATAACCTGCCCAGGAGTATGAAGAATAATTGTACCAAGTTTCGTTAAAATTCGTCGAGTAGTTTTTGTTTCTATAAGGAACATACACACAGACAGACAGACAGACAAAAAATTTACTGATTGCATTTTTGGCTTTAGTATCGATCACTAATCACCCCTTGATAGTTATTTTAAAAATATATTTCATGTACAGAATTGACATCTCTACAGATTTATTATAAGTATAGATTATTTTAAAACTGTGTAATTCCATATGTATGTACTTGTTAAATTAATACATTACATACATTTATTCCATCTAGGAAATGCTTTATTTTATTCGTCACCTACAACTTTTTCACTATAATCCAGTCGTCCTAACATTCCAATAATCCACCCCATTCCGGGGACAACGAGGTATGGTACAACCATTGATGCGGTATTTTCAAAATTCGTGAACCACTTATCTATGAACTTCCATGTATCTTATTTTAGTTACCATAAAACACTTGTCACTGTAATTAATAATGCAGACAATGTTGATTTAATTAATATTTAAAAAAAATGATAATAGTCTGATAATACAATTACATAATTTATCAACATTCCTAATGATATATTTATGCACATCTGAAATTGACTATTGTAAAAAGTTTAATGTGAAATATTTCGTCGATTAGTTATAATAAATGTATATGAAATTTATAATTATATATATTTATCTTTATATATATAATTCTTCTGTGAGTGTGTATGTCACTGAACTTCTCTTAAACGACTGGACCGATTTTGATGAAATTTTTTGTGTGTGTTCAAGGGGATCTGAGAATGGTTTAGATTCACAATTTTGTCCGCTGGACAACCCCTATTTTTTTAGGGCGGTACGAAGTTCGCTGGGTCAGCTAGTATTTATATATGTATACTAGCGGACCCGACAGACGTTGTCCTGTCTACACGTCTTTGTGAATCTAAATCATTCGCAGATCCCCTTGAACACACACAAAAAATTTCATCAAAATCGGTCCAGTCGTTTAAGAGAAGTTCAGTGACATACACACTCACAGAAGAATTATATATATAAAGATTATACATACAGTATCAATCTTTTTTAAGTTAAACAAACTCCCTTTGCGTCCGGTTAGACTATCGAACTTAATTAGTAAACTCCAGTCGTGCGTCGGAGCTGACACACACAATTTTTGTTCTTGCGTTTGAAATCTTTCATTTTCCTCACAGGCTGGTGCAGCGGCGCAGCAACGAGAAATATCTCGGGTTTGGTGCCTGGGACGCGCGATCCGGTCGACGCGCCGCCACCCAGGCCGCCGCCAACGACGCCAGCCCCCTCACCACCGCCGCCGAGGAGAACGACGAGCGGGACGCCTGGCTGCGGAAGGTGCAGGCCAGGGACCTCATCGACTTCGGGATGATACCGGTGTGTGACGCGTGACATATATATATATATACAACGACGCCAGCCCCCTCACCACCGCCGCCGAGGAGAACGACGAGCGGGACGCCTGGCTGCGGAAGGTGCAGGCCAGGGACCTCATCGACTTCGGGATGATACCGGTGTGTGACGCGTGACATATATATATATATACAACGACGCCAGCCCCCTCACCACCGCCGCCGAGGAGAACGACGAGCGGGACGCCTGGCTGCGGAAGGTGCAGGCCAGGGACCTCATCGACTTCGGGATGATACCGGTGTGTGACGCGTGACATATATATATATATACAACGACGCCAGCCCCCTCACCACCGCCGCCGAGGAGAACGACGAGCGGGACGCCTGGCTGCGGAAGGTGCAGGCCAGGGACCTCATCGACTTCGGGATGATACCGGTGTGTGACGCGTGACATATATATATATATACAACGACGCCAGCCCCCTCACCACCGCCGCCGAGGAGAACGACGAGCGGGACGCCTGGCTGCGGAAGGTGCAGGCCAGGGACCTCATCGACTTCGGGATGATACCGGTGTGTGACGCGTGACATATATATATATATACAACGACGCCAGCCCCCTCACCACCGCCGCCGAGGAGAACGACGAGCGGGACGCCTGGCTGCGGAAGGTGCAGGCCAGGGACCTCATCGACTTCGGGATGATACCGGTGTGTGACGCGTGACATATATATATATATACAACGACGCCAGCCCCCTCACCACCGCCGCCGAGGAGAACGACGAGCGGGACGCCTGGCTGCGGAAGGTGCAGGCCAGGGACCTCATCGACTTCGGGATGATACCGGTGTGTGACGCGTGACATATATATATATATACAACGACGCCAGCCCCCTCACCACCGCCGCCGAGGAGAACGACGAGCGGGACGCCTGGCTGCGGAAGGTGCAGGCCAGGGACCTCATCGACTTCGGGATGATACCGGTGTGTGACGCGTGACATATATATATATATACAACGACGCCAGCCCCCTCACCACCGCCGCCGAGGAGAACGACGAGCGGGACGCCTGGCTGCGGAAGGTGCAGGCCAGGGACCTCATCGACTTCGGGATGATACCGGTGTGTGACGCGTGACATATATATATATATACAACGACGCCAGCCCCCTCACCACCGCCGCCGAGGAGAACGACGAGCGGGACGCCTGGCTGCGGAAGGTGCAGGCCAGGGACCTCATCGACTTCGGGATGATACCGGTGTGTGACGCGTGACATATATATATATATACAACGACGCCAGCCCCCTCACCACCGCCGCCGAGGAGAACGACGAGCGGGACGCCTGGCTGCGGAAGGTGCAGGCCAGGGACCTCATCGACTTCGGGATGATACCGGTGTGTGACGCGTGACATATATATATATATACAACGACGCCAGCCCCCTCACCACCGCCGCCGAGGAGAACGACGAGCGGGACGCCTGGCTGCGGAAGGTGCAGGCCAGGGACCTCATCGACTTCGGGATGATACCGGTGTGTGACGCGTGACATATATATATATATACAACGACGCCAGCCCCCTCACCACCGCCGCCGAGGAGAACGACGAGCGGGACGCCTGGCTGCGGAAGGTGCAGGCCAGGGACCTCATCGACTTCGGGATGATACCGGTGTGTGACGCGTGACATATATATATATATACAACGACGCCAGCCCCCTCACCACCGCCGCCCAGGAGAACGACGAGCGGGACGCCTGGCTGCGGAAGGTGCAGGCCAGGGACCTCATCGACTTCGGGATGATACCGGTGTGTGACGCGTGACATATATATATATACAACGACGCCAGCCCCCTCACCACCGCCGCCGAGGAGAACGACGAGCGGGACGCCTGGCTGCGGAAGGTGCAGGCCAGGGACCTCATCGACTTCGGGATGATACCGGTACTGTAAAACTATTGTTAGCTCTTTTTTTCAGTCTGTTATGATCATTTTGGTGAGAGGAGAGTAGAGGAGCGCGATGGCGCGGGTGGTTAGCGCGTTCGGCTGCGATCGTTGAAGTTAAGCAACTTTCGCAGTGGTCGGTCATTGGATGGGTGACCAAAAATTTGGATGGGTGACCAAAAATGTTCTATCTCGAATTCTTCTGTGCTTCGGAACGCACGCTAAGCCGTTGGTCCCGGCTGCATCTGTAGTTGTTAGCACCCGCTAATCCGCACAATGCCCGTGTGGTGGGTCATGGCCCAATGTCTCTATTCCATCCATAGGGAAAGCCTGTCCCCCAGCAGTGGGGACATTAATAGGCTGTTAATATAAAAAAAATAGTAATACGGATACAATACACCACGGTGTTTGTGATGCCTTTTCTCAAGCTTTGTACCCTCCCAAACGTCCAATGACACTTGAGTGTCATAAACGTTTTTCCAGTCAAACTTTGATTTTGTCCTCTGACAAACATTACCATAACCTGTATAAGAATCTTTCTATGTTCGGCTCCATCTCATTTATGTAACATATTACAAGATAAAGCATGCTAATAAAGGTGTTTCTTTCTGCAGGAGTTCGTGGGTCGATTCCCAGTGTTGGTGCCCTTCCACAGCCTCAACCAAGATCTCCTCGTACGAATACTAACGGAGCCCAAGAACGCAATGGTAAAATTAATGAATCGATATTTATGTATTATGTTTTGTTTTTACGCTATACAATCATTTGTAAAAACACTTCACACACAAGCCTGAGTCTTGTGTTGTTGAAGCATCAAGAATAATTTAAACATTAATAGATCGCGATTTATATTCGACATTTAAAATTGATTTTTTCATAATTAAAATGGTAACAACATGCTTATGGCCTGCCTGATAGTAAGCGTCCACAATAGCATATATAAGAAAACGCTGACGATAAAAAAAATATAGCTCGCGCCGTTGCCCACCCTGACCTACCCCGTGGAACCGGGGAAACACAACACTACGAAAAGGTAGTGTTATTTTACTGTGACCTTCCGTAAGATTACTTCCTTAGACGGACTCTCCATTTCGATAGGGAAATCCGGTACCAAGCAAACTGCGATCAAGGGGGCGGGGCTAAAAACTGTGATTAACACGCCGACCATGGGATTGGTAGTTGTTTTTTTTTTTTCAAATTTCACGAGTTTAATTCCCTGTTGTAGAAGTCGATTTTAACAAAATTTTTGAATGCAGTTCTACTTATTATTAAAAATTAAATGATGTCTTCTTTCACTAAAATATTCTATCTTCAATATTTACAATCTGTATACTGCGGAATGTTAGTATACACATATATATTAATTTACTAGTTGTGCTCCGCGGTGTTACCCGCTTCTTATTAGGGATATTTTCCCGCAGTAAAACGTAGCCTATGTGTTAAATCCAGGGTGTCGGCTAACTCCATACCAAATTTTATTAAAATCGCTCCAGCCCTTTAGGCGTGAAGAAGTAACAAACATACTTACATACACACTAACACACTCACAAACTTTTGCCTTTATACTATTAGTGTGATTATAACACCTATGTTTGTCTGTATAGGTGGCGCAATACAAGCTATTATTCGCGATGGACAAGTGTTCGTTATCGTTCAGCGACGAAGCGTTGCGAGCGGTAGCTGCCCTCGCTATGGAGAGAAAAACAGGCGCTAGAGGACTACGGGCTATTATGGTGAGTATATTAGTACTTGGGCAATACTTTATTTTCAACGGAGGTAATTTATTTATAGGGAAACTAGCTGATCCAGCGAACTTCGTACCGCCCTAAAAAAATAGGGGTTGTCCAGCGGACAAAATTGTGAATCTAAACCATTCTCAGATCCCCTTGAACACACACAAAAAATTTCATCAAAATCGGTCCAGTCGTTTAAGAGAAGTTCAGTGACATACACACTCACAGAAGAATTATATATATAAAGATAACAGCATTAGTTTACACATAAAAATATAACATTAAATTTAAACAATTGCCTAGGTAGATTTTATAGGTCAGAGGAGCTGAATAAAATACGAAATCACAGTGACGAATGATACTTATATTCTGTGAAATATATTTTTACTAGGAAGCTGATACGACTGACTCCTAGCACAGCAGAATACAAAGTGAAGCTCGTTTATAAGTGAACTGAATGCGTGAATGATCGAATGAGTGGGGGTTGAACGAACGAATGAATTAAGACTTGATTTGAGTTAAGACTGCATGAACAAGTATACTTTGGCATTACCTAGTCATGTTACTTTCTTTTTATTACAAAAGGAATACAAATTATTATATATCTTTATATATATCATTCTTCTGTGAGTGTGTATGTCACTGAACTTCTCTTAAACGACTGGACCGATTTTGTTGAAATTTTTTGTGTGTGTTCAAGGGGATCTGAGAATGGTTTAGATTCACAATTTTGTCCGCTGGACAACCCCTATTTTTTTAGGGCGGTACGAAGTTCGCTGGGTCAGCTAGTATATATATATATATATAGATTAATTTTTGCCAATTTAAATTCAATATAAATTCAACAATTTCCACTATTATTTATCTCACATAGTGTCTAATAAACACGAGAAAAAAAAACGACGGATTGCACTCCGGGAGTCTCGGCAGAAGTGAAAACTTGAATATTAACGTTGTGCATTTTTGATATTTTGGAATGGTTAGGGAATAATTTTGCACGAATTGCTTTAATTATCAGTATAATAGTACTATCATGTATGTGGTAGAATACAATATTTATTTATTGCGCTATTGTACACAAACATGACAATTTATATTACATTAAAAAAGTTTATCTCTCATAAAAATCAACTTACATGAATTACGTTTAAGCGCACTTAGCGACATCTATTGTAAAGAAATAAAGTTACATGAATCACATTTAAGCGCACCTAGCGACATCTATTGTAAACAGCATTTTCTTCTCAATAAAGCTGCCACGTGGACGTTCTAGATAGAGTCTTATTATTATAATACGATAAAATAAAATATTACTATGTTTCGTCCAATATATTGAAAGTCAACAACCTTTCCAATTATATTGTGTGTCATGATGCGATCAGCCCACGTGTTAGACCTGACGCGAGTTTAACATTTTTTACCCATACAAAAAAAGTGTATAACGCCGCTAAAGAAGTTTTCACTTCAAAAACATTTTTGACATTATATTAAACATAAACAAAATAAAAAGAAATAAATAAAAATGTTGTTCCTAAAACGAGCTACAAATTAGTTTTTTGAATTTCAAAGAATTAAGATTAAATATATCAATGTGACTTTAGAATGATGTGATATTTATAATTGTATAATTTCATAGCTCGCACAATGTAGCGATTACTTGCGTAATGACAGGGTATTATTGTTTTGATTTTTGGGCTATGCAGTAATCATAATCAATAATAAAAATCAATTATTCAGTTTAGGCTGTTACAAGCACTCATGAATATCTAGAAGCTACGCCATCGGTTCGTAAATCTACGGCGGGACACTTTGTACTGAGATGAACCAGTAAGAAATTCAGCAAGGCCTGTTTTTCACTCCCTGTTTTATTATTTACAGAATCGTCAAGTTGCAAAAATGACTTCAGAGATGATTCGTGAAGTCTAGTGACGTGACGTCATGCGATATTTCAAATTAATATATCTCTGCAATGTTTTGATTATGTGAAAAAAAATCGCGTCCAATACTTTTTGATAATCTTCGCGTCTCCTTGTCATTCTTCATACATAATGAAAAAAGAGACTGATGTTAAAGGACAATGGGGGAAAAAACACCCACCTTAGCCAACAATGTAATCAGTATGAATCGAAAGATCAATGAAAAATTTGCCTTTTTTATTTTGACACCGTAGTAAAATATCCAGGTAATCGAAAGATATGACACATTGGCATATTTAAGTAACTAAATAAATTCATTTAATACCTTCGTTTTGTATGATTAGTAACCATAATAATGTGCCATATCGTAGTATACAACCAGATACGAAAAGCCTGCCGATCATCCTGCGCTTGCACTTACACGAGACATTTTAATAATGATTTAAGATGTAAAAATGACTATTGCATGCTCGATTAGGGTAACAATGGGGAAGATCTTCCACCTAACGGGGTGATGGTAGCTCGGGGGCCGCGGCTCGACTGATGTTGGTCGGACATTGTATATATGGAGCGTTAGCCTCCGAATTTCATTTGCGCGATGTAGGCTTCCATACTATTATAATCGCAGCGCAGGTAGTGCCATCTCTTAAGGAGGCGGGTGCTTATTTCCTCCATGTTGATTATGGGTGTGTTCCGTAATATAAACCAGTATACTGGCCAGTGCTAATGACGTCAAGAATCGACGCCATGCTGTTGATTCGTTCCAAATTTTCCAAATACACTGATCAGCGCGGTGACGTCATGAACTGGCACTATATTCAAGCAGTCTCGTGTTTCGAGTGCAACGTTCATGCTCCAAAAATTATAATTAAGAGTGTAAAACCTGTTATTTCCTTCATCGATCAAAACAATGTTTTCTGTTTGTTGAGATTTCATTATTATCAATTTAATACAAAAAAGACCTTCACTAACTGCAGTGCGTATACACCCAGCTATTATACGTCACAGTATTCTCACCAACATAATATGGCGGCACACCAGTGCAATATGGCGTCGAAATCTTGACGTCACTACCGCTGGCCAGCGTACTGGCTTAAGTTTCGGAACACACCCTATATGTGGGGCATGTGGATGTCGCCGCCACAGTTTTAATTGCGTGCACTAACATCTAGCAGTAGCACTAAATGTAATAGTTTTGCAATAAAGAACAGGGATGATGACTATTTTTTTTCTTCGTTTATCAGGTAGATTATCAAAAAGTATTGGACATGTTTTTTTTCTTTTTTCACATAATATAAACATTGCAGAGATATATTGATTTTAAAAGTCTCATGACGTCACGTTTTGGTACAATTTTCACTTAAAAGTAACGTCACGAGCCCCTAGTCCCAAACTTTGACGCGCTATAACTTTGTCATTTTTTGGTTGATTGCCCAAAGAAAAAATACGTGTCCATTATATTTTGATCATCTAACTGACGGACTAAATAGAATTTCGTTTACTGTACCCCGTCTTCACCCCTATTATTGTATTCTATTCTACATCCTAAAACGGCTTACAGGGGTACGGGAGTTGAAGGACTTGCAGTTGCAGCTAGTCTACTCATATGCAGTCCTTTGTCTTACTTTGTTGTGATTGTGCGCTCCCTTTTACTTATTTGTTTTTAACTAACACGTTTTGGACATTGGAAGACGATTATCTGTTTTGTGAATTAGTTACTGGAATCATGTTTTCTCTAAGGCGTGGAAAAGTTTGTGTGATTTGTGGTCGCTCCGTTTTATGTAGAAGACAGTTTTATAACGCACAGAATGTTTGAAAAAAATCAATCTATTATAATAATAATATTATTATATATTATTATTATAATCTAAGTGAGATTTTTTGGATTTAACATAATTTTTGGGAATATCATAAGGGGCCCCTTAGATCTTGTGAAGTACTCCCATAATACCTGAGCTCTCTATGTAGGGTCGAACTAACTAAATTAATTCCCTTGTTTCATTAAAGTTCGCTCTTTCTAGTACTTGTACCTATTTAACTTTAAATAACTAAAGACCCCCGGGATGGAATTTGTGCGCTTTGGCACAGATGATCATGAATTTAATACCTTTCAAACAAATCTAGTTTAAGCCGTGGCGGATGTGGGTGCAGCGTCCATACATTTTTGCCCAATGTCCTTTAGTTTTAAGTTTAAAGAGTCACGCCAGAATCGACACGCAATGTATTATTAGAGGAGAACTTCTTCCTTGAAGTAATGTTCGACACCATTCTATTTTGATGATCTCCGTGGCCGAATGACTCGGGTTCGAATCCCGGTAGGGGCAGATGTTTGTGTGATGAATACGAGCATTTGTACTCCAGTCATGGATGTTTAATATCTATTTTCTATATAAATATACTTTATATATGTACAGTATGTGTATTCTATCCGTTACCCTAGCATCCCATGACACAAGCCTTACAGTGCGTACTTTGGGAGTAGGCTAATTGATGTGAGTGTTGGAAATATTTATTTATTATTATTTATTCATTACAGGAGAACCTCCTCCTTGAAGTAATGTTCGAGATCCCCGGCTCAGACATCACATCCGTCCACATACACGACGGCTGCGTGTCGCGCGGGGAACCCCCCTCGGTGACGCGGCGCCGCGACAACGCGCAAGCCGACGCCGACGATCACTGGCCCTCGGTGCGCCTCACTAACTGTACGTACACTGCACCGCACTACACTACACTACACTACACTACACTACACTACACTACCCGGCGCCGCGACAACGCGCAAGCCGACGCCGACGATCACTGGCCCTCGGTGCGCCTCACTAACTGTACGTACACTGCACCGCACTACACTACACTACACTACACTACCCGGCGCCGCGACAACGCGCAAGCCGACGCCGACGATCACTGGCCCTCGGTGCGCCTCACTAACTGTACGTACACTGCACCGCACTACACTACACTACACTACACTACACTACACTACACTACCCGGCGCCGCGACAACGCGCAAGCCGACGCCGACGATCACTGGCCCTCGGTGCGCCTCACTAACTGTACGTACACTGCACCGCACTACACTACACTACACTACACTACACTACACTACACTACACTACACTACCCGGCGCCGCGACAACGCGCAAGCCGACGCCGACGATCACTGGCCCTCGGTGCGCCTCACTAACTGTACGTACACTGCACCGCACTACACTACACTACACTACACTACCCGGCGCCGCGACAACGCGCAAGCCGACGCCGACGATCACTGGCCCTCGGTGCGCCTCACTAACTGTACGTACACTGCACCGCACTACACTACACTACACTACACTACACTACACTACACTACCCGGCGCCGCGACAACGCGCAAGCCGACGCCGACGATCACTGGCCCTCGGTGCGCCTCACTAACTGTACGTACACTGCACCGCACTACACTACACTACACTACACTACACTACACTACACTACACTACCCGGCGCCGCGACAACGCGCAAGCCGACGCCGACGATCACTGGCCCTCGGTGCGCCTCACTAACTGTACGTACACTGCACCGCACTACACTACACTACACTACACTACACTACACTACACTACCCGGCGCCGCGACAACGCGCAAGCCGACGCCGACGATCACTGGCCCTCGGTGCGCCTCACTAACTGTACGTACACTGCACCGCACTACACTACACTACACTACACTACACTACACTACACTACCCGGCGCCGCGACAACGCGCAAGCCGACGCCGACGATCACTGGCCCTCGGTGCGCCTCACTAACTGTACGTACACTGCACCGCACTACACTACACTACACTACACTACCCGGCGCCGCGACAACGCGCAAGCCGACGCCGACGATCACTGGCCCTCGGTGCGCCTCACTAACTGTACGTACACTGCACCGCACTACACTACACTACACTACACTACACTACACTACACTACCCGGCGCCGCGACAACGCGCAAGCCGACGCCGACGATCACTGGCCCTCGGTGCGCCTCACTAACTGTACGTACACTGCACCGCACTACACTACACTACACTACACTACACTACACTACACTACACTACACTACCCGGCGCCGCGACAACGCGCAAGCCGACGCCGACGATCACTGGCCCTCGGTGCGCCTCACTAACTGTACGTACACTGCACCGCACTACACTACACTACACTACACTACCCGGCGCCGCGACAACGCGCAAGCCGACGCCGACGATCACTGGCCCTCGGTGCGCCTCACTAACTGTACGTACACTGCACCGCACTACACTACACTACACTACACTACACTACACTACACTACCCGGCGCCGCGACAACGCGCAAGCCGACGCCGACGATCACTGGCCCTCGGTGCGCCTCACTAACTGTACGTACACTGCACCGCACTACACTACACTACACTACACTACACTACACTACACTACACTACCCGGCGCCGCGACAACGCGCAAGCCGACGCCGACGATCACTGGCCCTCGGTGCGCCTCACTAACTGTACGTACACTGCACCGCACTACACTACACTACACTACACTACACTACACTACACTACCCGGCGCCGCGACAACGCGCAAGCCGACGCCGACGATCACTGGCCCTCGGTGCGCCTCACTAACTGTACGTACACTGCACCGCACTACACTACACTACACTACACTACCCGGCGCCGCGACAACGCGCAAGCCGACGCCGACGATCACTGGCCCTCGGTGCGCCTCACTAACTGTACGTACACTGCACCGCACTACACTACACTACACTACACTACACTACACTACACTACACTACCCGGCGCCGCGACAACGCGCAAGCCGACGCCGACGATCACTGGCCCTCGGTGCGCCTCACTAACTGTACGTACACTGCACCGCACTACACTACACTACACTACACTACCCAGCGCCGCGACAACGCGCAAGCCGACGCCGACGATCACTGGCCCTCGGTGCGCCTCACTAACTGTACGTACACTGCACCGCACTACACTACACTACACTACACTACACTACACTACCCGGCGCCGCGACAACGCGCAAGCCGACGCCGACGATCACTGGCCCTCGGTGCGCCTCACTAACTGTACGTACACTGCACCGCACTACACTACACTACACTACACTACACTACACTACACTACCCGGCGCCGCGACAACGCGCAAGCCGACGCCGACGATCACTGGCCCTCGGTGCGCCTCACTAACTGTACGTACACTGCACCGCACTACACTACACTACACTACACTACACTACCCGGCGCCGCGACAACGCGCAAGCCGACGCCGACGATCACTGGCCCTCGGTGCGCCTCACTAACTGTACGTACACTGCACCGCACTACACTACACTACACTACACTACACTACACTACCCGGCGCCGCGACAACGCGCAAGCCGACGCCGACGATCACTGGCCCTCGGTGCGCCTCACTAACTGTACGTACACTGCACCGCACTACACTACACTACACTACACTACACTACACTACACTACACTACACTACACTACCCGGCGCCGCGACAACGCGCAAGCCGACGCCGACGATCACTGGCCCTCGGTGCGCCTCACTAACTGTACGTACACTGCACCGCACTACACTACACTACACTACACTACACTACACTACACTACCCGGCGCCGCGACAACGCGCAAGCCGACGCCGACGATCACTGGCCCTCGGTGCGCCTCACTAACTGTACGTACACTGCACCGCACTACACTACACTACACTACACTACACTACACTACCCGGCGCCGCGACAACGCGCAAGCCGACGCCGACGATCACTGGCCCTCGGTGCGCCTCACTAACTGTACGTACACTGCACCGCACTACACTACACTACACTACACTACACTACCCGGCGCCGCGACATCGCGCAAGCCGACGCCGACCATCACTGGCCCTCGGTGCGCCTCACTAACTGTACGTACACTGCATCGCACTACACTACACTACACTACACTACCCGGCGCCGCGACAACGCGCAAGCCGACGCCGACGATCACTGGCCCTCGGTGCGCCTCACTAACTGTACGTACACTGCACCGCACTACACTACACTACACTACACTACACTACACTACACTACCCGGCGCCGCGACAACGCGCAAGCCGACGCCGACGATCACTGGCCCTCGGTGCGCCTCACTAACTGTACGTACACTGCACCGCACTACACTACACTACACTACACTACACTACACTACCCGGCGCCGCGACAACGCGCAAGCCGACGCCGACGATCACTGGCCCTCGGTGCGCCTCACTAACTGTACGTACACTGCACCGCACTACACTACACTACACTACACTACACTACACTACCCGGCGCCGCGACAACGCGCAAGCCGACGCCGACGATCACTGGCCCTCGGTGCGCCTCACTAACTGTACGTACACTGCACCGCACTACACTACACTACACTACACTACACTACACTACACTACCCGGCGCCGCGACAACGCGCAAGCCGACGCCGACGATCACTGGCCCTCGGTGCGCCTCACTAACTGTACGTACACTGCACCGCACTACACTACACTACACTACACTACACTACACTACACTACCCGGCGCCGCGACAACGCGCAAGCCGACGCCGACGATCACTGGCCCTCGGTGCGCCTCACTTACTGTACGTACACTGCACCGCACTACACTACACTACACTACACTACACTACACTACCCGGCGCCGCGACAACGCGCAAGCCGACGCCGACGATCACTGGCCCTCGGTGCGCCTCACTAACTGTACGTACACTGCACCGCACTACACTACACTACACTACACTACACTACACTACACTACCCGGCGCCGCGACAACGCGCAAGCCGACGCCGACGATCACTGGCCCTCGGTGCGCCTCACTTACTGTACGTACACTGCACCGCACTACACTACACTACGCTACACTGCACTTGTACAGTTCACTGGTACATACAAATTTGCTAACACCACGAACGCACTCAGGCCGCGTTAACGACCCGCGTTTATCTAGTGTCATATTGGTGACGATTCGGGTATGATTCTCTAAACCTAAACTTAAATTTGACAACAGTGTATTCCTGTCAATCTCTATACAGAATGAAAGGGAGTGACTGATTTTTAATTTAGTTTTAAGTTTAGAGAACCCTGCCAGAATCGACACCATTATCGTAATAATAAAATATTATTTCTTTTTTTAAATACAGTGCAATTAGAAACACGAACTATTTAACATACATTAAAGGCTAGAATAGTCTACACCTTAACTGTAACTTTGTTTACGATACGATATTGATTTGATATATCTCGGAATTTATTTCTCTCTGGTCTATTTCTCCTGCACTCCAACTAATTCTCATTAAAGGTGTACAAGCTGTCCAGCACTATATTACACTACGCTACACTGGATTACACTACACTATACTACATTACGTTGCAGTCCAATCCAAAGTCAATCCAAATTGACTTATTCAATACTCTTTTGAATCGTCGCAATATTTTTTCCTACCACCCTTTTACGACCGGGACATCTTTTAGCTGATTGAAAAGAATGGGCGCAAAAAACTCATGAGCCATTAGCAACATTAACAAAGAATCATGTCCCTACCAATACAACGTCCACTCAGATTTTGTTTGTTGTATCATTAATATAAATGCAATACACTACACTAAATCGTCACTACATTAC